TATTCTATTCTATTCTATTCTATTCTATTCTATTCTATTCTATTCTACTCTACTCTATTCTATTCTATTCTATTCTATTCTATTCTTTTAAAGGATTGATTAATATAAAACTTTGAACATTTTTTTTTGCTTTTATAAACCGTGACTCAGTCATTCTATTTTAAGAAATGCATTGAATCATATGGCATTTATTAAAATCTTCCAACTCACGGAAAACTAACTTTTTCATTTGTTCTCTTTCAAGTCATAGTACACAATGTTGCTATTTTCTCAGGAGATTGAGAGAACTGTAGAGCAAAATAGCCTTAGCACCACAGAATTCTCCTGTTTTTATTTTATTTATTTATTATTTATTTATTTTGTTAAGCAATTATAAGATAACAGGTATAAGTATAAACATAGTTATGAATACATGAAATGGATACATATAAGAAAAAGAAAAAATAGGACAGGGACGGTAGGCACGTTGGTGTGCTTATGCACGCCCCCTACAGACCACTTAGGAAAGGGGTGAGGTCAATAGTAGACAGTCTAAGGTTAAAGTTTTTGGGGTTTGGGGAAAAACCTCAGAGTCAGGTAGAGTATTCCAGACATTGACCACTGTCTTTATCAGTTTATGTCATAGCTTCATAATCTCCTTTAGATCAACTAAAACTACATTTCACAGTAAAAGCCACAGCTTGGACTTTCACTGATATTAAAAAGAATTCCAATAAGTATTTTACTGATTACCAACCAAAATAAAGGGACTTATACTTCACAACAGAAGTAGCTCATCCAACAGGATTGCTTTTTGCATACTTAATTCCCACTCATACTTTTCCAATGTGTAGGTCACTTATTTGACCAACACATGAAAGAAAATATATTTAAAAGTGCAAACATCACCAAGTAAAAATAAAAATGAATTCACAACAGCAATAATTATATCTAGAGAGAAAATCTCTCATTTTACCTCAAGGCTTTAGCACTGTGCTTTAAGTGCAGCAGAAGAATCACTGTTACATATCTGGTGTGTGACCACTGTTCTTGAGTCAGACCCATGATGATCTGGGATAGACCCATTGCTGCTACAATGGTCATGAACTGCTGAGCTGTTTCTGAGGCTGAAGGGATGGCAAGTGGAAGTCCCTGAGAACCATTACGTTGGGGAAATCCACTGCCAGCCCTGAGACAGTCTCCGGGAGTACAGGCAGAGAGGTTGCCATGCAGGAGGGAGGCTGGTACACTAGCAACAGTCCTAGCTGATCCCATAAGCCCAGCTTCAGAAATCAGGCCTCAATATTTTCTTTCTCATATTTCTGCTCCAATGTGCAGACTGAATTAATGGTCGGACCCTGAAGGGTTAATTTCTTTTGGAGATAGAGCCTGAAGGAAATGGCAATAGCAATAGCACTTAGACTTATATACCACTTCATAGTGCTTTACAGCATTCTCTAAGCAATTTACAAAAGTCAGCATATTGCCCCCAACCGTCTGGGTCCTCATTTTACCGACCTGGGAAGTGTGGAAGGCTGAGTCTCACCTTGAGCTGGTGAGAATCCAGCTCCTGGCAGTGAGCTGAATTAGCCTGCAATACTGCAATCTAACCACTGCCCCACTATGCATTGCAAATCTATATCAAGATACATTCTAAAGCAAAATATGAAGGTATATGTTTTAAATCCCATTTACCACTTATCAAAGTTTATCTCAGCTCTCTCTGAGGATATAAGATAAGACAAGAAAAACTTTATTGACATTTTTTTTACTGTCAACACACTGGCACACATTAAAAATATCCCACACCCTTTTATTATTTGGCCATCAGGAAGTTTGTTTTCTTTGTATGACCTGAACGATTGAGAAATTGAATATGAGATACCAGTACTTATATTGATCAAGTTTTAGAAAATGCATTTATTTATTTAAAACATTTTGTAGCTGCCCATTCCATAGCTAAGTCTGAGCGGCTCCTGATCAAAAGTAAAACAACATAAAAATACAGTAGAATTATAAAACTAAACACATTTTAAAATTAAAAACAACAAAAACCTGGCACCAAGGCAATATCTCTTATCTCAGCGACTGCAGAAAAGATCTTCAAAATTGTGAAAGGCTAGGCAGGTAGAGGTCTGCCAAAATTCAGGTGAGAGACTTCCATGGAAAACACATGTTTTCTAGTTCCCATCAAGTGACAATACCTAGGGGAAGGGACTATGAGTGTGCCTATCCTATCTGACCTGGAGATGGGTAGATTCTTTAGAGTGGGGCAGTCCCACAGATAAACTGGTCTTGTGCCATATGCAGCTTTAAAGGTGATGACTAGCACCTTGAATTGTACCCAGAAAGAAAGTAGAGGCTAGTATAGCTTGCACAAACAATTTTTTTTTCACCCCAATCCTGGACAGTCCTATGATCATCTAAGACATGGGTGTCAAACTTTCTGTGTCATGTTGCCGTCATGTGATGTTTTGCGACTTTTCCCCATTCACAGAACTGAGGTGGTTGTGGCCTATGTATGATGCATCCAGCCCACAGGCCATCAGCTTTTAATGTTTTTCTTTTTGAATTTTATTTTTATTTGTCAATTGCTTACAAGATAATAGTATAAGTAAAAATATAGTTATGAATATATGGATACATATAAGAAAAATAAAAAAATATAAAATAAACAATAGGACAGGGATGGTAGGCACATTGGTGCGCTTATGCATGCCCCCTACAGACCTCTTAGGAAAGGGGTGAGGTCAATAGTAGACAGTCTAAGGTTAAAGTTTTGGGGGTTTGGGGAAGAAACCACAGAGTCAGGTCATGTATTTCAGACATTGACCACTCTGTTGCTGAAGTGATATTTCCTGCAATCAAGTTTGGTGTGATTAACCTTGAGTTTGTATCTATTGTTTGCTCTTGTATTGTTATGGTTGAAGCTGAAGTATTCATTGACAGGTAGGACATTGCAATCTATGATTTTACATACTATACTTAGATCGGACCAAAGGCAGTGTAGTTCTAGGTTTTCCAGGTCTAGAATTTCAAGTCTGGTGGCATAAGGAATTCTGCAACGAGTAGAGGAGTAGAGAACTCTTCTTGTGAAATATTTCTGGACTTTCTCAACTGTGTTAATATCAGTTACGTAATGTGGGTTCCAGACTGATGAGCTGTATTTGAGTATTGGTCTAGCAAATGTTTTGTATGCTCTAGTTATTAGTGTAATATTACCAGAGAAAAAGCTATGTAAGATTAGGTTAACAACTCTTAATGTTTTTTTGGCTATGTAGTTACAGTGGACTCTAGCACTTAGGTCATTTGAGATGAGTACTCCAAGATCCTTGACAGAGTTTGGACCATCAACAAGGTCTTGGAGTATACTGTAGGTACCTTGATTCAAAATTGTTGCATTATAAGTTATCATTTGGGATAACTTGAAGATACAAAGAGACAAACAGATAACACAAAAAGAGTTTCAGTAGTATATGAATTGAAAGTCTCTCCTAATTGTTAGGAGGTGTTCACCATCTTTGTTCCTCATTTGATAGCAGAGGCCAAGCCTCTTGGTAAAGTATATTCTTTGCAAATAAGCAAGCTCTTGGCAATGCAGATTTAATTTAGTAGCTATGGATGTGGTTTGCAATTCTTACCAGAATCAAAGGGGTTATTGTAAAATTGAAAATCTCCTGAGAGGGTGAGGAAGGGAAAGGAGTCTTAAATAGATTAGAATTTTGCTTTATTATAAACAAAGGGCATTTGTTGCCCAGTTCTGAAAGTTTTATTGTTGGATAGAGAAAACACTGCTTCAGAAAATTACTCTGCTGTGTTTCCTCTTTTTCACTCTCAAAAAAATAATGATGCATACAGGGCAGTACATGTCCCTTTCAAAAAAAAGTCTAATGACACTCTTTAAAAGTTGTTAAAAGGGAACTTTGAAGCTGCTTCATTTTGGCTAAACCAGGGGTGTCGAACTCAAGGCCCGGGGGCTGGATCCAGCCCGTTGGTTTCTTAGATCTGGCCCACAGGGCCACCCTGGAAACAGCAAAGGACTGGCCTGTGGTGCCTCTGCCAGCAAAAATGGAATGCAGGAGGACTGCGGATAGCCCTCCCGAGCTCCGTTTTCATTGGCAGAGGGTTGCCAGAAGCTGTCGCAGTTAAAAATGGACTTCAGGACCTGTTTTTGGTGGTAAAGCACTTGGGCCACCACAAGCACCCCCGACACGAGTGACGTTGAACTGGTCACGCCCACCCTGGTCACACCCACCAAGGCCCCCCCAAGGTCAAACACAACCCTGATACAGCCCTCAATTAAATCGAGTTTGACGCCCTTTGGCTAAACAGTATGCTCTAATACTACTTGTCAGACTCCTAATATTTCATTTCAATTTTCTTTTCCTCAACAGAGATGTACATTCTTCCTCTACCCGCATGGTTTTTTTTCTCCCAGGAGTGCCAACTATTTTGTTTTTCAATGTAGAATCCTCCAAAGCATTTTATATCAGGACCCTTTATGACTCAGTTCACTGAGATTACATTGATATTTTTGTAGCAGATGCTTGATATGAAACTGATATAAAGAATCTATAGAGTTGAAAATACACATAGTCTTGACTTATGACCAGTCACTTAGTGCCATCTGAAATTACCACCCCAAAAGGTAACTTAGTAACATGATTGCATTTTGGGTGCTCAAATTTATGATCATTTGCCACCTCCCATGGTCATGTGGCCACAATTTAAGACATTTTCTTTGGTGGAAATTAGTGTTTATTTTCAGTTTCCAGCAAAACACTCCCATTGTGGACAATGAATTTGCTTAATGACCACAGTGTTCACTTAATGATTGCCACAAAAAGGTCATAAAATCAGGCCAGTTACATGGATGCCTTAACTCAAGGCCATCATGATGTACAACTGTAATGCTGGGTTTATTGTCATAAATCAAGGACTACCTTTAGCCATTTAGGCCTTTCAATCTGATCCCCATTTTGTACATACTGTATATCCAAATTAAAGTTCTATCTCTAACCTTTTATTTCAATTCAGCTATGTAATTTTCTGATTTGTTGGTTAGAGTCAAGACACTGAGATATGAACTTTTTGCTTCATTTGGCATAGCAAGATTTAGGAAGGTTTCCCTAATAGCATCCAAGTAGAAGTCCAGATTATTTATTTCCAAGTATTCCCTCAAATGAACTGGAAATATCTCCTCAATCTCAAGAGCCTATTCATCTCAGGTATAAATACATAGGTTAGCTAAACTGTTTGTACTGTTTTTGTTTAGAACTATGTGAGTGATTGCTGCCTTCCATTCTTTTCTTGTGATTCTAGTCTCAGTAAATTTGTGATTGTAACTACAGATTTACTTTCATTCATTTTAAAAAGGGAAATTTTCATTAAAAATTTATTTGCAGATTGTCGCCCAGTTGCCCTTATGTTTCTTAAGTTTATTGCTGCCAGCTTTTTGATCGAGGGTCCAAAGTACTTTCCTTTCTATTTTCCTAGGGCTGGACTGAAGGCAAAAACTCATGGTGGAATGACTAAAACCAAATCATCCAGATGGACTAAAATGTATCAGGATTTTCAGCCTGATTTGGACTCTATTTAACTCACTTGATTCGATATATTACTTTGTTGTTGTTGTTGTTGTTTTTAAAAAGTTCAGTTAAATCTGGAAAAAAGGCACTTGGACAGCCCCAGGGCTTTAAACTGGAATAGTTCTTAATCTGGATTATAATCTGGAACAAATTTTCCTGCAGAAAATCTCTCCTTTACTCCCAAATCATTATCTGTACTGTATTGCAAATAAAAATGTGTGTTTGTGGATGTGTGTGATTTTACTGCAAAAAAAATGAAGCTTGGAAAGTTGATCCAAATAAAGCACATGTCTTAGATTAGAGAGCCATAATTTTTCATCCCCCAAAAATAAAACACCAGGCTATGCATGTCCTTTAACACTCACAAGGCAAATATAAGGAAGATTATGTATCAAAGAAGTAGGGTGGATCATTTTGGAGTATAAGTAGCCACTGCATTCTAACAGCACATGTTTAAATTCCCTCCATGATCATATGAATAGATAAATGGTCCTTAAAATTCTTCCCTTCCTCGTAAGGTCATCTATCCCTGCTTTAAAATTCTCAATTATAATTTTGCTTTAAGAACCCTATACAAGTTTTTGTTAATTCCTATTGGAAATAGTGGTTGAAAAGATTCTTTAAATAAGTATTGTTAAAAATATGCCACAGCAGAAATATTTCTTGATACTGTACTGCTCAGACCCACAGCTGGCCCCAAAAGTTACCATGGTCAATGGTATTGAAAGCCACCAAGAAAACAAGGATTGTATACATTATCCTTATCCCTCTTTTGTCAGAGATTATCCACAAATGCAACCAGTGTTGCTGTTTCTGTCCCTGAGAATGTGACTTTGGGTGACATACAAACACAATCACAATTAAAACAATATAACAATCTTAATGTCTATGGAGATTCTCAGTCATCCAGGTCATGGAAATAACTAAAAATGAAAACTTTTAAAAAAAAATCAAGATTGTGGGAGAATAACAATCACCCAACATCATATAACCACCATGCAGGTTCTCAAGCATCCTCAAAGTTTCTGGGAAAAAACAGATTTTAAGGACTTTCTTGAATGGTAATAAAAATGGGGCTAACTTTACCTTGGGGGTGGAGGGGGGCAATGATATTCTGGACAGCAAGAGTTAGAGCAGAAAATACATGACCTCTGGGTCCTGTCAGATATAATTCCTAAGCAGACAGGACCTGTGCATGCCCTTCCTGCTGGACCTGATGGGATGGGTAGATGTAATCAAAAAGAGGCATCAAGCTGTAGATATATATGACTACCTTACTCCAAAGATAACTTGAAGAAGAGTGCAGATCCCTGAGACAAAAAAGATGGTGCTGATCAAGTGACTTTGTGTCAGAGTGTCGTGCTCCAGACAAAGTGATTTGGAAAGGATGAGTGGAATTGCAACGAGACCTCCAAGGGCAGTCAGGTAATGCTAAGAAACAGAGAAGAGGGAAGAAATGCAGTTAAGAGATAAAGAGTCATGCTTACCAACTGTAATGGTGAGTGCATAAAACAATGCTTTTTGTGTAGTGGTGCCTATACTATAGAAGACCATCTTAAAATATTATAAACTCCTCCTCTTTTAAACCTCAGATATGGTACTGCCAAACTTTTGATGTGATCTTTTTTAAATGTCTTCATACTTTAGCCTGTTCTTGTTTTTACGATCAAGTTTAATGTTTAAATGCTTTAGCAAGCCTTAGTGCATTTCACTGAGAAAAATGAAGTTTAAATGCCTACAATTTAAAAAAATAGAAGAGAAATCTTAAACTATCGTAGAACCCAAGGCCACACCGATAGCTAGTATTCATTCTGCCTGACCTTCCTTTTCTGTTCCCTCAATTTGACAAATCCATGGGTTGTTGCAGTCACTGATGACAGTGAAATCAGGAAATGTATGTACCAGAAGTCCTATTTACAGAAAGATCAAAGTTCACATTTTTGTATCTCCATTTCCCATCCAAACTATGCAATGGACTGCATGGCCCATGTCTTTTGGGTGGCATCTGTCTCTTATCTTAGCAAAGAACAGATCTGACCATCTGCCAGAGTCCTCTGACCATATGAAAACTAACTCAAATAAATTTTAGCTAAGAAACTGATACCATAGTTTGGCTCAAATGGCAGAAAGTACTTTGAAGGATGATGGGCTTTCCTTTGTATAAGATTTTGAACCACATGTATATATCCAACTATTAATTATACCGTACAAAATATTCCCTAGACTAGCAAGATACTTTGAATTAGACTAAATTCTGAAGTATCTCCCAACTGGAAGGTAATTTCTTGCAGAAATCTCTACATTGTGAATTTTCCTTTGCTTTTGAGAAGCTCACAAGGAATTAAATTTAAACTAGGCCATACTATGAAACAGTAGGTGTTTTTCTTTTCATGTACACTCCTGCGAATTGCTTCATAAGTTATTTATAGCATTTGAATTAAGTAATCACTTATGGAGTCCTTGGTGGAACCTCTTTGACTTTTTGGAATAGATTTATTTAGTTGAAAGCAAAGTTAATTTAATTTATTTGCTAACTTGAATTGGTTACATTTAATCTATCCAAACAGTTTAGTGTATTTTAGTATGATTCCTTCTCCATAAGTACACATTCTAAACCTGCTTAGGCTGTGATTAGCTATGTGGGTGTTGTCCAGTTTTCTTCCTCCAAAACGAGGAAGCTGTAAAATGGTAGAAACTCTCATCATGAATCCCCTCTGTTCCAATTTCACCCTTGATGTTTAGGATAGTATGAAGAAGTGACTTATAACAGAAAACTGCTTTTTGAAAGAACTGATTAATAATGCTTTTCCAGTATGCCAGATATAATATTTTCTACTTAAACAAGAACAGACAAGTGAAGTATTGTCAAAGACCTCAGGCAATGGAGAGATAGAACATAAATCTCTACGTTCAGTTATGCAAGGCATGGCAGTTGTCACACTTCATTGACTTGGGTAAAACTAGGAACTAGTTTCCCTTCTGGTGAAGATACACTTCACCAAAAAGAAGTGGACAACAATAAATTAGAAGCAGAAGCAGAAATTTTAAAAATGTTTATTTTCTAAAATTTATTCATTAAATTTATATGTTGCCTATCTCACTACTGAAGTGACTGACAGGATTTTGTACTGTTGACAGGAAAATATCTGCTGCTATAAATGTCATACTTTGTAAGGAAAAATAAAAGACTTCTAGATTCTTTTATTTATTTATTATATTTACATATTTGGGGCATGGACTAGAAATCAGGAGACCATGATTTTTAGTCCCATCTCCAGCATGATGCCAACTGGGTGACTTTGAGCCAGTCCCTTTTTCTCAGTCTTAGGAAGAGGGCAATGGCAAGCCACTCCTGAAAATCTGCAGGGAAGATGATAGATAGATTGATTGATAGATAGATAGATAGATAGATAGATAGATAGATAGATAGATAGATAGAT